TGAAAAAGCACTTTTGATGTTTATGTTATTCAGCAAGAGTGGTTGGTTGTTTAGAAGCCATCAAATGAGTAATATATTCACTTTGTTAGCTTTGTTTTGCAGCTACAAGTTGAAAGTTGATTAGTGTGTGTATAGAAGTGACATTAGCGTTTATTGGCTGATGTTATTCAGTGCGACTGACAAATTGAATAATCGTTGTGAGAAAGTTGAGTAAACGCTCTCCAAAACTATTTTGCTAGCTTTTGCTTGTAGCTGTATCTGCAGCTTCTTTTCAGCTACTTTACAGCACAACGTTGGAAAAGTTGGCTTACAAAGCTGAAAATGTTAGTTGGGCAGCGTGCAGAAAAAAGTAATCTTTGAAATTTGGTCATATGCGTAGAACAATTTTTTACATCAAATATGATTTTATATCGCCCTTTAAATTATTTGCACTAAGGAACCCTGTATATAAAAATGAATTTCAGTCTGACCCTTATACAGACTCGGAAACTACTGAAACGATCGGCGTGAAAATTGGTATGCAAGGGTTTTTGGGCGGGGAAAGGTTCGTATGATGGTTCGAGACCCCTCCCCTTCTATAAAGGGGGGGGGGGGGCTCCCATACAAATGAAACAGAAATTTCTGCATAACTCGAGAACTAATCAAGCAAATGGAACCAAATTTGGCATGTGGAGATTTTTGAAGGCAAAAAATTTTTCTATGGTGTTTCGAGACCCCTCCCCTCTCTGGTATGTAGCTAATTTTAGATCTTGTTGTTAAAGGCCAGCTGTTGGAGTATTTGAATAGCAACTCTTTGTTGATACCAGAACAATCAGGGTATCGGGAAGGTTATTCTTGTGAAATTGTGTTGAATTTGGTGTTAGGAAAGTGGAAAAACAACGTTTAGCGTAAAGATACGACTGTTGCTGTTCTTCATATAAATGGTTTGAAAACTATTTGTGTGACAGGACTCAACGGACTGTTTTTAATGAATATGTTTTCAGTTCCGTGGGGAATAAACTTTGAGTGACCCAGGAAAGTGTATTAGGGCCCCTTTTATTTATTATGTATATTAATGACTTGCGACGTGTTTTACGATTTTGCGACATTAATATTTTTTGAAGATGATACTGTGTTTCATTGCAGCTAAGGGTTTAGAAATTGCCGTCTTACACTTGAATGAAGATTTGCGATCAGTAGATGGTTGGAGCATAAGCGATAAGTAGATGGTTGGAGCATAAGCAGTTGAAATTGAATACAAATAAAACTAATTTCATTTTAATTTCGCGGGATCGAGTAAATGATAACGTATCTGTTGTACTTGATGACAAGACAAATGATCGCGTTTGGGAGATTAAATGTCTTGGCGTGATTATTGATGACAAACTTAAGTTCAACTCTCACATTGACAATGACATCAAGAAAATGTCCAAGTATGGGATTCTATGTCGGTTGAAAAACGATTTAACTATTGCCTGTAAAATACATTTATACAAATCAATCATCTCTTCTCACCTAGACTTTTGTCTTTATATTTTATTTCTGGTCAATGAAACACTGCGTTTGCAGAACAAAATACTGCGTTTGATTTTTAAAATCAGATGTGATAGATTCACTTCCTCAAGTTTGATGCTGTACGGCTAACAATGGTTGTCGGTGCAGCAAAGAATTGTATATTTGACTATGGTGTTCATTTTAAAGTAGTTAACGGTTTGCTGCTTCGATATTTGTGATCGAATTGAAAGAGGAAGTGATTACTAGACACGCGGATAAAATAAGAACACCACATTTCTTGACTTGTGCTTCACAGAATTCATTGTATTTTAAAGGAGTTAATGTTTTCACACGTTGAAACTGTCTTTTTGGAAGATACCCCTACTAATTCTTAGGGGCCTCCCTTACCTCCAGTCTTGGCAAAAATGGCCTTACAAGGTTTGTTTACAAAATGGAGTTAAGGCCATTTCAATTGTTGGTCTTGAATTGATATTTTTCCGCTCTCATGGATATTGCGAGTCGCAATATCACGCGTGATATTGGAACAAAATATCATGCTTGATATTGATTTTACAAGCTCCTTCGATATTGCGAGACTATTCACAACGTGCAAACATCAAGCTGAGAGTTGACTCGACACAAAAATGATTCCATTGCACATCGTTTTCTTAAAATGAGAAAGTATAGTTTGCTATCTTTTTTAAATCTTCACCGATGGCAGACGCGGAGGGCCTGCTGCAAGCCGTTATGGAAGTTTTGGTTGCATTCGAGTGTAAAGCAAAAATCATTAAACTCAATCTCACCACAGTTTGGTGATATTCGCAGTTGGTGAGTTTTGTTAGCTTGATATTCCGAGCTGCGATATCACAGCTTGCAAAATCAACCGCAGTAACTTTGTACTACCTATATTTAACACAGGATGTCAGCCCTTCAAGAAATATTCCCAATCGTGTAATCTTCTCCGATTTCGGCAATTCAGTGAATTTTGATTTATCTATGACGCAGGAAATCCGCGGAATTCCAGAGCATCATCGTCCTATGATTGCTCCGTCATTATACGCTGCAAAGTTTGGCCATGTTGATTCTGCAAGAACGTTTTTCACAGATGGATCTCTAATAGAGGAGTCCGCTGGTTTTGGTGTATTTAATGCATTTCATAGCGCCTCTCGAAAACTTGAAGCTCCTTGTTCTGTGTATGTGGCTGAACTGGCAGCAATTCACTACACCTTGGAAACTATTACTTCACTTCTTCCAGACCACTACTTTATTTTTACGGATAGTCTCAGTTCTGTCGAGGCTATCCGTTCCATTATGCCGGTAAAAATACGAGAGCTGCTTGGTACTTTATCCGTGCGCTCTTTCATCATCACCTTCGCGTGGGTCCCTTCGCATTGCTCAATTTTGGGCAATGAGAAGGCGGATTCACTTGCGAAGGTGGGCGCTATGGAAGGCGACATTTATGATCGACAGATCGCCTATAGTGAATTTTTCTCTATTTATCGTCAGCAGTCGCTCGTTAGCTGGCAACATCAATGGAGTGAAGGGAGCTTGGGACGATGGCTACATTCAATTATCCCTAAGGTGTCGAAGTTTGCATGGTTCAAAGGGTTGGACTTGAGTCGAGACTTCATACGCGTCTCATGTCCAATCACTATTGCCTAAACGCTCACTTGTTCCGTGTGGGGTTGGGAGACAGCAATCTCTGTGAATGTGGACAAGGTTACCAGGACGCTGATCACATCCTTTGGTCTTGTGCGGAGTATCGTGGAGTCAGATCACATTTTTATGATTCCCTTCGGGCTCGAGGTAGACAACCTAATGTTCCAGTTCGGGATATTTTGGCTAGACGCGATCTGGAGTTTATGAAACTCATATATGTTTACTTTAAGGATATTAACCTTAGATTGTAAGTTTGATTAACCTTGTGCTTAGTTTGTATTTTGTACGTGTGGGTTTTTTTTTCAATGTTTGTTTTCAAGATGAATAGAAATAATTTCATGCTTTAGGATTAATTAAATAGTTGTATCGTAAACCACATTTCAAACCTCCTTCTTCCCTTTTCCCATCAAAAAAACTTGTAAATCTCCACTAACCTCGAGACAACCGCGAGTACTCGGTCCAGTTCCTTTAACTTTAAATTTAAGACAGTAATAATGTATAACGCAAAGGATAACTCGGCTCTGTAAAGTTTATTCGATTGAGCCTGTACAAAAAAAGTAATTATAAAAAAAAAAATCAACCGCAGTTGTTTGCTTGTTGATTTTTGTCTACGAAAATCAAGCGTGATCTTGAGCGTTGGTGAGATTTGATTTTTTGATTTTTTCTCAGTCGGTAAAAGCGCAGCTACAAAGCAAGACCATGCTGGAGGTGGCTGGGTTCGATTCCCGATCCAGTCTACGAAGTTTTCGGGTTGGAGTATGATTGTACTTGCCACACAATGCAATGCAATGCAATGAATACTAATGCAAAAATGGTACTGGCATCTAAAGCTCGCAATTAATAAATGATGAATTGCATCTAGAATACTAAGTAGAGAGCACGCAATAAGCAAATATGCAATAATCAATAAGCTTGAAATGCGAAGAAAAAAGAAGAAAATTAACTGACAATGCTGATAATAATTATGATAGCATCAATTGCGGGATTGCTAGTGTATAGGATCCTTTGTTGATTGTTCATTAACTCTTAATCGCTTGTAATACTTATGAATACTTTAGGTGCGCAAAAAGGCGATCTAAGAGGTGGACGCCTAAGTTTTTTTTCACATCGCTGTGAAGCAACTGTAAACTCTAGAGGGAATTTATATCTGTAACTATAACCAATTTGTTTTTGTTTGCTAACCTGGTTAAAATGTCATACTTAATTATCTTAAAGATAAATCGTCCAGCTCAAACCTTTGTAGGGTAACCATGATCATCATCATCTGATGGCCATAAATTGACTGTTTAGATTACGTGCTCGTTTGAGTACCAATTTTTCCATTTCCATCAAATTTGATTTGCAATTTTACAAGCAGGGATGGAAAATCATTTACATTTATTTCGTGCATTCATTTACATTCATTTGCTTCTAACTTTTTTCATAAACAGAATTCCGTAAAATATTGTCTCATGCTTTTGTATTCAGTGAATGTAAATTACATTAATTGAAAAACAATAACATGTTCTGCCAGCTCTAGTTCGTCATGCATAAGAGATTCAGCTTTGAGTTGTTAACAAAAGTTGTAGTTAATATTAAACGCTACAAAAGTTTGATACACTTTTTTACGATATTCTGTTGATGAAAAAAGTTAGAGGCAAATGAATGTAAATCAATGCACGAAATGAATGTAAATGATTTTCCATCCCTGGTTGCAAGTGTTGAAATCTTGAGCTCGTAAAACACCCAACGTAAAACTACTGCCCAATCCAACATGGAAGGTCTCAAAGTGGAAGGAAACTTTTACTTGGGCCAGATTTCCAAGGATCAGTTGTCACTTTTTCCGACAGCTGCGGAAAACTTTGTCACGATATGAACTTTTTCCTTACCGATTTTCCGTTCTTTCTTCTTCTCTGCCTCAGCGATACAGCTTGCTTAGCTGCTGTTGCGACTTTGATACACCCAACACCGACAGATTTGTGCTTTGGTACTTTTCACTCTCGCTCGTTATATGAAGGTATCTAGAAAAGCTTGAAACTCGAGACAGTCGGCGGATGCAAGGCTCGGAGTACCAAAGTTTCACTTCTTTTATTTGAATTTGCACTGAGGCTGTGGGCCGACCGACGTTGAATTTGAGCGAGCCTGCGTTTGTTGGACCAGATCCGTTCCTGGAAGGGAAATTGGACAGAAAAGATAGAAAAAATTAAAAAGGGAGCACTGTTTAAATAGCGGAAAAGAAAAGCTGCTGCTTCTTGAGTCGTGAGTCTGATGCTGTAGTAGGTTCTGTCAGAACTGCCCGAAGAAAGACGATGGAAAGTTAAATAGAACGATTCGGTTTTTTGTTGAGTTTCATCACGAGAGTTGCAATTACATAAATATTTGTAGAAACTTATTGGAATAAACTGGGGAGAGCAGGATAACTGAAATTTGATGATGGTGGCTTTGGACGAAACTTTGTTTGTAAAGTCTTTTGTCTTGACTCTGTTTTTTGCGCTTGGATGAAAATGGTCTAAGGAAGTACATTTTGACTAATTATCTTCACAATCAAATTATTACATATAAGATAATGTTTCAAAACATATTTTTGCAATTGAATTCAGACAATTTATGAAAGTTTACGACCTAAGCTACGAACGAAAATAATGAAAGACCATGCTTCAAGGCATCTCCCATATTCAAGCAAACAATAGATATCAGTTAAAATCTAATAGAAAAGTTTAACTTTCGAAAGCATATCACGATTACAACTCTACAACAATCAGCACTAATTAAATCACTATTCTGTTTTGAATCGTTCAAAGTTTTCCCATTTCCATAATAACCACACCGACGAAAACTAACTCCTACACAACAGATTTCTCTATTCCCAACGCCACACAAACATCCGACAGAAAACTTTCCAATACTTTACATCGTCCATCCGTCCGTCTGCTCGTCCGTTGGTTGTTTACCACCATCACACAGGACATATTAATTAAGTAAGCAATTTCCCCTTTCAGCACATTGCACAATCTTTTGTGCCAATAGCAAGCATCTATCGTCATATACTAAAAGGAACCAGACTTATTGCATGTACAGGATGGTACCTTGTGTGGTCCGGGGAGCTCCAGAGCTCGTCTCTGATGAGCGAACCTAAAGATGCAAATCGGCAGCATTCATAAAGCTTGAACGACTGGAACCTTGCCTATAATAAAGCTTACCAAAGCCAGGGTGGCACTCCCCCTCCCTTTGTGATGAGAGGCTGCGCAAAATACTTTGGAGAAATGCATTCCATCCCCACTTATTCCAATGAGCGAAAGCGACAGGGGAAAAAAATACTTGAAATTTTAATTTCCATCCATTGCAAACGTCGGGCTGCATAAATTTCCACGGTTGTTGTTATTTTTGCACTTTTGCATCGCTTGCTTTCGGCACCGTGGTTTCATCCATGATTGGTTTTATGCAAATTTGTTTTGTCTATGGCCGAGTGGCGCGGCGCCACCCTACCTACACTGGATCGCACTGACGACGGCAGTGGCGACGCTTGGTTGACAGGGTGGGCGGATAGTGAATTAAAGTAAAGTGAGCTCGGTTTGTGGAGGTGGGCGTGCACTCTGCAAGGACAAATCAGTTGGAACTAGATTAAGTCGAGAGCTTTTCTGCTGATGACATACTTTAGTGTACGTGCAGTAGTGCCAGAGAATTTTGTTCATAAGATGAACAAAGCTTAATGTAACCGATCGTGTAGAAAGCTGTAAAGAAATTAAAAACCCCAGACAAGCAGAGCTCGTATTTCCATTGTTCGTTTCCTGAACTGTTGTTTTTTATGGCTGCCTTGTAGGGCCTGCACCAGGGGGCTATTACTGTCTGAGCCAATGGGTTATCAACTCCGCACAGTGTGCTGAAATACAGCATGTCAAACTGTTAGACACGTTAAGGCCGAGGGGAGCGACACATCTAAATCTCAGTTTTAGATTCTCAACAAATCGCACACTAGCGAATCAATCTTCGAAAAATCTTCTCTCATTTCTCGCATCTACTTGCATCGCGCATCATCTTTTTGCAGGACATCTTCAGAATCGTCATCAATCTTTGTTCTATCTCACACACCAGTAGGTCGTTTAACTGATTTTTTCTATCTACCCAGCGTGCGCGCAGCTATCCACAGCAAAACAAAAATTTTCATGCATCGTATATAGAGTCGCCCCCCTCAGTTAAGGCACACTTTGACAAGTAGGACACATATAATATAATATAATATAAAATGGCATCACTGTTGAGTGTTGACGTTTTGCAAATCGTTGCCAATGTTTACTACTCGTTTGAATAGTTTGTTTACTCAAAGATGAATCTAGTGAGAGAATTTATTACTGTTAAACCTAGTAAAACATTCACCAACAACCCACCGATTTTGAGGATCGTTCGACAAATTCTGAAGTATTCTCTGAATCGTGAATCTCTTCTGAATCACAGCAAAAATCCCAGCGGCTCGTGTTTTTATCTAAACAGCTACTATTCGGGCCTTACTTCAATCGAGTTTATCCACACCATGGTCAGTTAAGAGTGTCTTGTCGATACGGCAGTCAAGACGGCTTAAACGGGTTACCTCTAGTGACTATTCGTGCCAGACGGTTTCCTTTGATGATACATTTGGAAGGCCACACAAACAAGTGCATTAATATCAAGCAAATGGATCACAGCTATACAACGGGAATGGTGGAACACCTACACTAAAGGGTGATACGGTCAAAATTTGGTCAATATCAACTTGACGTATTTCTTTCAATTTTGCATTTAAAAACCTGAACACCCCTCATTTTGAAGGTGTGTGTGTGTGTAGAATGTTGCTCCTATTTTGATTTTGGAATTCACTCTTCAGTTGTCAAAATGCCGTCCAAGCAAAAAGAGCAGCGTATCAAAATTTTGCTCGCGCATCGCGAAAATCCGAGCTACTCGCACGCAAAGTTGGCAAAATCGCTAAAAGTTGCCAAATCAACCGTTACAAATGTAATTAAAGTGTTTGGGGAACGTTTGTCGACAGCCAGGAAGTCTGGATCGGGGGGAAATCGAAAACCGGAAGCCGCTGAGACGACAAAGAGAGTTGCCGGTAGTTTCAAGCGAAACCTTAACCTCTCTCTCCGAGATGCCGCAAATAAGCTGGGTGTATCGTCTACAACCGTGCATCGAGCCAAAAAACGAGCCGGACTATCGACTTACAAGAAGGTAGTGACTCCAAATCGCGATGATAAACAAAATACGACGGCCAAAGCGCGATCCCGGAGGCTGTACACGACGATGCTGACGAAGTTTGACTGCGTGGTAATGGACGACGAAACCTACGTCAAAGCCGACTACAAGCAGCTTCCGGGACAGGAGTTTTATACGGCAAAAGGAAGGGGAAAGGTAGCAGATGTTTTCAAGCACATGAAACTGTCAAAGTTCGCAAAGAAATATCTGGTTTGGCAAGCCATCTGTACCTGTGGCTTGAAAAGCAGCATTTTCATAGCTTCCGGGACTGTCAACCAAGAAATTTACGTGAAAGAGTGTTTGAATAAACGTCTGCTGCCTTTCCTGAAGAAACACGGTTGTTCCGTACTGTTTTGGCCGGATTTGGCATCTTGCCATTACGGTAAAAAGGCCATGGAGTGGTACGCCGCCAACAACGTGCAGGTGGTTCCCAAGGACAAGAACCCTCCCAACACGCCAGAGCTCCGCCCAATTGAGAAATACTGGGCTATTGTCAAGCGGAACCTAAAGAAGACCAAAAAAACTGCTAAGGGCGAGCAGCAGTTCAAGGCAAACTGGCTTTCTGCGGCGAAGAAGGTGGACAAGGTGGCTGTACAAAATCTGATGGCAGGGATCAAGCGTAAGGCCCGGCAATTCGGATTTGGAAAAGCGGAAACCTAACTGAATATTTTTCCTGAATTTTATACTAATTGAACTTGAAAAAGAAATTTAATTTGATTTTTTAAATAAACGATTTCACCGATTTACACGCGTTTTCCCTTGACCAAATTTTGACCGTATCACCCTTTATGCTGTTATTCGTACGAAAAGATAAATATCATGCATCCTACGAAGATCGGATCGGTGAGCATCGAGTATCTATAGCTCGATGAATCCTCACATTCAGTATCGGAAAAGTTCACCAAACCTCACTATGACTAGTGATTTTGTCCAACCCTCCCTACATTCTCGTCCACATGTTTTACCCAAAGGCCACATACTGGAGGCTTTATTCTAGAATACGCTTCTTATTTTTTTACTAAACAATTAGTACTACCGTGGGTATGCAATATCGAAGCGTACAAGGAAGGATCAGCACAGAATCTTCTGCAGGAGTTGAGCTACATTAATAATTCTGTTATGCAGAATGAACATATAAGAAGAAACAAAGTTTATCATAGGGGGCAACCAGATTCGAATCCCAGTCTTGCCAAGGTTCTTTTGGGATGGAAACTTTAAAAATTTTCCCCGCGGTTTTTCTCTGATATTCTGGCCAGTCATTAATCTCAATTGGCATGGACTTCGATAGCATATCCACTACTTTTGAAAGAGCTCTCGTAAAATAAAGCCTTGAATTATGAATCACCAACTTCTATATACAGACTTCTAAGCAACGGGTAAAGCACTTCTACTGAATCCTATTTTCAAAGCATGACAGACCCTAAGGGGTAGATGTTTGATAGTTTTAATCGGTGGTCCATTGCAGTAGGAACCACAACTGTTTGGTAGGCTTGATAGAATGCATCATATGGAGGTGTAAGAAGGGATCATAATCAGCGATATCTTTGAGGACCCGCACCTCTGAGTCGATCAGATGATTTAAAACTGATTCGACGATGTTACTCCTAGGGTGGGATTGAACTCTCGCCCGTTCGAGTTTTGGGTTTACTTTAGTCGGGGAGGATTTAATAGACAAAAATTTCATTCATCATCGACCGGGTTTCTCCTTTGCTCCTGTACACCTGCAAGGAATCAACAGCTTAAAGGGACATCGAGACAGAATTTTATGGATGCGTTGAATTTGCTTGAACACCTAGATGAACACCCTATAGGTTTGGTGGCTTAACGGCGCCGGTGGTGTAGTGGTAAGCGTGATTACCTCTCACCCCAACAGGCCTGGGTTCAATCCCAGTCGGCGCCGCCGGGATGTTCTGAGGCATAACATCTCTGATCACGCCTTTCT